TTGAGGAAGCTTTCTAAAATGCAAATATTTATTCCTGAATATAGTGCCTACCATACTATTTTTGTATATTGTCTTATTCAATTCTCAAAACATTCTTAGGAAGCAAATGAAATCATTGATGTATTTTGCAGATGAAGAGCTTGAAGTTTCATACAGTGACACGGTGACTAAATCATGGAACCAGAGGCCAAAGTCCGGAGGTCACAGTCTGACTGCACCCCCCCCACCCGACCTCCCGCCCCGCTCTAACGCATGCTCACATTCACTCCCAAGAGTCTCAGAGTTCTGAGAATAAAGTTCAGACTCCTTAGTTTAGTATTTAATAAGGCTCTTATAACATGGCTTTGCTTTATGCCTCTATTTTTATCTCCTTCACACACACTATTTGCTAGAGCCATTCACAATAAATGAGATTTGCCCAAATGCATGGTATTTCCTTGTTTATTTGTTTTGGAACAGTTTGTCAAACATATGACACTTTACTCAACATTTGTACTGAAAAGAGCATTTAACACAAGTGTTCAAGTCCATTTATTTCACAAAGCATACCAACCGGTGTGATCAGCACCCAGATCAGGAAACAGAAAGCCAGCGCCCTGGAGACCCTCTATGGCCCCTCCTGTCATTCCTGCACAAGGGAACCAACATCTTGACTCATAACCCTCAACATTGCACCTTGCTTTTTTCACTCCACTACACCCTCCCTGAGAGCTTGCCCATATTAATAGGAAAGACCTGCATCCCATAGGCATTGGATTGGGACCATTGGTGAGTCTTGGCCTCTCTCTGAGCCCCTGATGTTCCAATTATTAAAGACTTTGAATATACCTGCATCATATTGTTTTATGTAGCAGACACAGTTTCCTCTGGGTAAACTATTCTCACCTCCTCTTCTTTACCTCCTTCCCACTTACTCTCTGTAAAAAGTACCATCGCCCTACCCATCTCTCAACTCCTGTCCCAGGATCTAAATCTAAGGTACCTCTCTGCATTGGCCTTGTCCACTGGACTGCTTGCTACCTGGATATACTGGTACTTGCTGTCTCCTCTCCTAGATTGTAAGATGCCAGAGTAGGGACTGATCATATTTACCTTGGTATTTTAGGCTTTGAGCATAGACCTAGTTTATGGTAACCTTTCAACCAATGTTGCGTAAATAAAGCCAATGCCCGCATGAATGAGACCCACGGGTTAACTGGAGATGCCCCCCTTTTCTTAGAGATCTTTTAGAGACTCCCTTTGCTTTATGTGTGGTTCTTCCTGGCTCACTGACCCGAAGTTACATCCAGCCCTACAAACAATTGTTGTTTCTCCTTAACCCTGGGACAGAAATAAAACTGGCTGCAGAACTTCAAGTGAACAGCATGTTCCCAAAGACATGTGCTTTCCATGAGCGAATCTGGATGCTGAAGTACACACTGCGAGAAGCTTGAAGGATGCATTGAGAGATGAAAGGAAAAAAGCAATGAACAGCAACAACAAAGAACAATACCCTGGGGCCGGGGGGAGGAGGGAATGTGGATTTTGGTACAAAGAGACGGGTCTGATTAATGCATGCTGCTGTTTGCTATTTTGGTTTCTGTTCAGATTTATGTTTTGATACCAGACTTTCCTTTCAGAACATGTCAAGTCAGCAGGCGATTGGGCGGTGGAATCTCTTCCATTAAAATAGCACATCTTATAATGCGCCACGCACCGCTGGGTCCCCCTCTTTGGAGATGAAAGATTTAAGCATCGTTACTGCCATTGCAAACGCACAGATTAATCAAGCCAGTCAGGCCCTCTGTTCTTTTTTTTTTTTCATTTTCCAAACTTTCTCTGGCTGTGACCTAAGACCTCGGTTATGGTCAGATAAGACCATTTCTTCCCACCATCCATGCCAGCCTTTGAAGCAGGGGCTGCCGAAACCTCTGCAGCTGTGGGCCCCCAGGCACTCTTTGATGTCCCGGTTGGTTTTCATGAGAAGGGTTTCGCTGCTTCGGTGCTTGTGAGCTCTCGAGGAGTTCTGGGAATCCTGCTGCCAATTCTCTTCCGCTCAGTTTCCCTTCGTGTGTGACTCACTTGTCTTTAGCGCGGGCAAGTGTCCTCAACAGCGGGCAGGAACGTGCACCAGAGCTTGGGCATGGAGGGCACCAGGCCCTGAGAACAGCCGTGCCGACTTTGAACATGGCTTGGGAATGGCTTTTCTCCCAACAGGAGTTATAAGAGCACCACCACCGCCACCGCCACCGAACACTTCATGTCCGCGCTGTGCTGTTCCCTCATTCACTGATCCATTCCACAGCTGTTTATTGAGCAACTACTATGAGCCAGACACTTCTCTTGACACCAGGGATTCAGCAGTGAACAAACCAGAGAGGAGTCCCTGCTGTCATAGAACTTACATTTCAGCTGGGGGCAAATGACAAAACCAGTACGTGCACGGGGAAAAGAAAGGTGGTAAGTGCTGTAGAGGGAAATAAAGCAGGGGCTGGGCGAGCATGACTCTGCACCAGCCTTAGCATCTGAGAAGCAGGTAGGGGCTCCATTTTACATCAGAGACAAAGGGAGGCTTGAAGAGACGAAGTAACTGGTCCTCTCATTTGCTCCCAC